CTGTCACTTAAAGGGAAAGCGCTTACTACATTCTGACAAGTTTTTAAACAATGTTTTAAAGTATACAACTTCAGTCAGACAATCCACTCAACTTTTGAGGGTTTAGACTCTTGTCGAGTTTTACACGTATCTCTCTTTATTGTAAAATTTAAGGTGGCGAATTAGGTTTTCTGAACACGATATCTTTAGGTCGAATATACTTGTTGCTATCATTAATTCATGTATTAAATATGAAATATTCTTCATGTCAAACTGAAAAGACGCTTACCTCTTAAAACTATATCTTCCTAACGATAAAACAAATGACCGAAATACAACTAAAGTTTCACCTTATCACAAAAAATTACATTGTTAATTTAAAGGAAATTTAAAACAATTGCTGTTTTAAAACTTAAAAATTATGCAGAAGTATTTCTTACAATAAAAGCTTATCTTCAGTAGCTTATTACATATTGCATCAAATAGATTAATTGTTTTAATTCCAAATGAATTTTTGTCAACGCCAAAGATTTTAAAATGTAATGTAATTCAGTCGTTTAAAGTTTTCTTAATGGAATTAGCAATATTTTCTTATTCATTTCATCTTTAATTTATAAAAGTGTATTTATATTTGCATTAATCTAAAAAAAAAAATTAAGTTAACATTTTTAGCATTCTTTATGTCATTTCATCTTCTTCAAACGTTTTATATGTTATCCAAATGAATAATTAACTTCTTATTATCATTTCAACTTTTTAATGAACTCTGAAAATGCAGTTCCGTACTCTTTTAAAACATTAAGAACAATGACCTGCACGTCTCAAGTTCTTCTTGACAGTAGGTGGTATCCGACACCATTTTGTACAACATTGTAATTCCAAGAGCGATATGGATCTTTACTGCTATAAAATTTACCTTGCTTAATTATTCTCAAGAGTAAAAAGAGGAAAATGTTAGACTTTAAAAATAATAAGACAGTCAGCGTACCTGATAACTCTCCTATCAAGCTATCATGTGTGTCTTTATAAAGGATGCTTGTAAAAATTTCAAATATTTCATATAAAATATCAACCTTCAAAGGACAAGGGGGGACTTGAAAGAGACTTAAATTTTAAGATAAATCTAATTATAGAAACTGCATGATCATGGCGCGGGTAAAAATATCACAAATATGCCAAATATACAGCAAACTATGTTTGCTGCATGATTGAAATACAATAGCAGAAAAAAGTAATTGCAAGCTCCTACAGCTACGCTGTAAAATATTTAAAGATAGATATTTAGTATGTGTATTAACACTGAAGCATCTTTAAATGATAGTAAAACTGCAGAAAAAGGATAATTGATATTTGTTTTTAAGAATAATATGAACAGTATTTTATGCATTGCTTTATCTAACATTAAGAACAAACGATGCTTGAATTTCTCTATGACATTATCTGTGCGGTTTGGAGACCAAGACTTACTATTCCCTAGCACCCGATCTTACTCTACCATGACAAAGAGCACACAGTGGGTTTGATCGTTCAGCAGGGAAAGCTTACTACTCCCTAGCACCCGATCTTACTCTACCATGACAAAGAGCACACAGTGGGTTTGATCGTTCAGCAGGGAATGCTTACTACTCCCTAGCACCCGATCTTACTCTACCATGACAAAGAGCACACAGTGGGTTTGATCGTTCAGCAGGGAATGCTTACTACTCCCTAGCACCCATCTTACTCTACCATGACAAAGAGCACACGGTGGGTTTGATCGTTCAGCAGGGAATGCTTACTACTCCCTAGCACCCGATCTTACTCTACCATGACAAAGAGCACACAGTAGGTTTGATCGTTCAGCAGGGAATGCTTACTACTACTTCCTAGCACCCGATCTTACTCTACCATGACAAAGAGCACACAGTGGGTTTGATCGTTCAGCAGGGAATGCTTACTGCTCCCTAGCACCCAATCTTACTCTACCATGACAAAGAGCACACGGTGGGTTTGATCGTTCAGCAGGGAATGCTTACTACTCCCTAGCACCCGATCTTTTAAATAGACTTTTGTTTGTAGAATTTAATTACGTTACCAACTTCATGTCATATCCCAACACAGGTTAACAACATTGTCTTTGTTTGTAAGGCTCATTATATAAATTGTATTTTAGAAGAACTTGGATTTAATTCTACAAGTGGTAATCCAACTTATACTCATAGTTCCCTTTCTAAGGAAGAAATTCTTCAAATTCATATGTCAGCTTTGAATATTTTTAATATCCCGAAAAACAAAAATGAATTTGAACTATCATATGTAAATTGGATTCCGAAACTTCATAAGATACCTTACAAACAAAGGTACATTGCGGGTTCCAGTAAATGTTCAACCAAGCCTCTTTCTTTACCCCTCACTAAGCTATTGACAGTAGTGAAGGAAAATCTTCAAGAGTACTGGGCAACACTATACTCAAGAAGTGGTGTGAATCAGATGGATACTCAAAAATTCCAAAGAACTTTCGGACAATTTGAAAATCAAAAGATTTTATCAAAATCAACAGCTTAAAAACTTACACAACTATTCCCAACGATAAAATAAAGTCCAGGCTTTTTTTTATATCACTGACAGCTGCTTTTTCAATAAAAATGGAAGTCGTAAATTTACTTACCTCGTCACTGGTCATTCGCAAAATTATTTTGTTAATTTAACACATTCTGATTGCACACACAAGTACTCTGAAGTTAACATAAAAAAGTTGCTTGAGTTTCTGATTGACAATATCTATGTAGTTTTTGGAGACCAGGTCTTCAAACAATCTATTTGAATTCCCATGGGTACCAATTGCACTCCGTTATTAGCAGACTTGTTTTTGTATTCATATGAAGCAGAATTTATGCAAAAAATTATGCGTGAAAAGAAGAAAACACTTGCTGCGGCTTTCAACTCGACATTTAGATATATCGACGACATATTGTCAATTAACAATGGTAATTTTCATTCCTATATCAAGAGAAAAGATATATCCTGGTGAGATTGAAACAGATATGACAATCATATCGCCCACAGAGGCTGACACATCTGTTTCATACTTGGATATTTTCCTTGAAAAAGACACTAATGGTAATCTAACAACCAAAATGACCTGTTTATATGATACACACGCGAGTTTTTTGACTTTAACTTTTCTATCGTCAACTTCGCTTAAATATGCAGCAATATATATAAATATACAACTGCCATACAGAGTTTACATATCTCAGTTGATTAGTATTAAGCCTCTAAAAAGGTGGGCGTACTCATTATCCTATGGAAATTTCACAATTTCTATAAAAAAACGAAGGTAAACTTTTAATTAACGTAATTACACAAGTTGCATGAAACAAGCCATTTCTACCATTAAAAGAAAAATGCCCATTTTTAAAATTAATTATCAATTTCTAAGTTTCCTTAAGTGCAGTCATCCTTTATTTACCGTCACTGGTCAGCAAATTTAACACATTTATGCACACACAAGTTCTTGAAGTTGACATAAAAAAGTTCCTTGAGTTTCTGATTGACAATACGTTTTTCATATTATCTATTTGTTAGTCCATTATTATATAAACTTATTTTTGTATTCATATGAAGCAGAATTTTGCAAAAAATTATCATGACAAGGAAAACATTGCTGTGGCCTTCAACTCGACATTTAGATATATCGACGACATATTGTCAATTAACAATGGTAATTTTCATTCCTATATCGATACGATATATCCTGGTGAGCTTGAGATAAAAGATACCACAGAGGCTAACACATCTGTTTCATACTTGGATATTTTCCTTGAAAAAGACACTAATGGTAATCTAACAACCAAGCTATATGATAAACGCGATGACTTTAACTTTTCTATCGTTAACTTCGCTTACCTATGCAGCAATATACCTTCATCACCTGCATACGGAGTTTACATATCTCAGTTGATTCTATACACTAGAGCATGCTCTATGTATGAACAATTTCTAAAACGAGGTAAATTATTGACAAACAAGCTGATGAAACAAGACTATCAGCAGTCTCGTTTAAGGTCATCATTTCGTAAGTCCTATGGTCGATACCATGACCTTGTCAGCAAATACAATTTATCATTGAGTCAAATGCTGGCTGACGTTTTTCATATTAATTTGTTAGTCCATTATTTATAAACTGAATTGACGACGGATTTTTCCTTTATTTCCCGATAATGACAAGGAGCACACAGCGGATGAGATCGGTCGGCAGGGGATGCTGACTCCTCCATGGCACCTGATCCAACCTTTGATGTTTTGGAGGTCCATGTTTGCTCTGCTCTTATTTTGTATTGTTTTATGGACTTTGACATTGAATACTGTTCGTTATCTCCATATCCTTCATCCCAAGAACTCAAAAATTGATATCGTATTTTCTTACTAAACTGATAAGTAGAGGATATTTAACATTTTGTACTTTGATATTGATTTCTTTTATTTCAGGACTTTTTTTTCTATTTTTTCTCAAGTGCTAATCACAAGTGATGTACATATTTTCTTTAAAAAATATCTGTCTCAGGAGCAAAATAAATTTCCAATCAAGCTACAATATATTGGATTTTTGAGTATCATTTTTCCCTTTGCCTTTGTTTTTTTCCTGACAAAAAATCTTTGTTGAGAGGTTCAGAAGACATGAATTTCAGAATCATTTTGAAGTATAATGATTTATACTTAATGTACTTTCTCTGTATAATGTCAGAACCAGGGTTTTTTTTCAACACTCTTTATGAAGGAATGGAAAACCGAGAGCTTTGTCGAAATTTTGATACATTTATTCCACAGTGAAAAAATATTACATTGATATTCCTTCACACCCTGTAAAATTAAAATTTTGACAACATTTCATTGTTGAATATGTTATAATGAACTCGTACACCATTATATTTTTAGAACCTGATACCTTACCTTGAGTCAGCATTTAAACTTGATCAAAGAAATATAACCAAGTTTCGCACGAAGAAAGCAAGAGTTATTGTATCATTAGATGTATAAATTTAATTTTTATCATTTTCGGGAGCGTTCCCAATGTTTGTAGAATTCTTCATAATCAGTGGAACTGGTTCCAGTGTGAAAGGATGTGTCGCTTGATCTCCTGAAAGAGTGCTTATGGAGTGGTGAGCACAACTACACAGACTTCCATACTGTGGTCGAAATCCAGAGAATATATGCATAGCTCTACTATTAAGCAGAAACGTAATTATTATACTATCCAAACAGATACTGTGAATCAAATTTGAAAAAAAAAAAATCAAATCTTTCTTCTCTTACTTTTGCTGGCTGGATTGTTGTTCTTGTTGAAAAAGTGCTTGTGCCTGATGAGGGGCAAGTCCAGTGAACTTGTTTGGAGACATAAACTGGTAATTAAATAGCGTGCTAGTTATCTGGGGTACTCCTCTTTTAAGCGGGGGTTGGTACGAATGTACTTGGTTTTGAATTTGTTGCACCATGTTGCGGAGACGGAGAGGAGAGTCAAGTCCAGCTGATCGCACTTCTTTTCGCCATTTAGCTCTGCGATTTTGGAACCACACCTAGAAATTGACAACAAATTTTTAAAATTATTTTTCCTACAATTTTCAAAAATAATTTTTTTTCTGAAAAAAATCAGCATTTTTAATTTTATTTTGTTATTAACATTTTCAAAAGTAAGGTTTTCAATCTTCAGTCATTGCAATTAAATTACCTTTGAATAACTATTGCAATATCATATCAATTCACCTTTTTGACTCTGATCATTGTAAAATAATTGCAAGGACAGGAAATCTTAGAACTAAAAAAGAGGAATTATATTTAAAGAACTAAAAGTAATCAAACTAAAATCTGATTAAGACAAAGATATTTTAAGCGCTTGAAGTGGGAAAACGAATAGTTTTCTAAACGAAAAAACGACGTCAAAGTTTTCTCTGGAAACTTGGCATGGTTTTATTTGTAAGAGTCAGAAAGGATAAATTTTTCAAAATTAAAAATATAGATAGTAAACCCTCCCAAATTGATTTCTTAAAAACTTTTTAACAATATAAAGGCGCTAGAGTTTTATGTTTACCTGTATTCTGGCTTCACACAGATTAATTTGAAGAGCCAGCTCCTCTCTAACGAAGATGTCAGGGTAATGAGTCCTGGAAAACAAGTCCTCTAAAGCTGTGATCTGGAAAGGGGTAAAGGTCGTTCTTTGTCTTCTCTGAATCAAAAACCAAATCATTGAAGATACGAATTATACTCTGGATACCATGAAAAATAGCAATATTAATCCTTAAAATTACGATTTTATTTCATACAATAAAATATCCTTGCTTGTTTTTATTGTTTTGGTTTGAAAGTAATGAAACCCTCTTTTTGACCAAATGAGTTGATTTTAAATAAAATGATAATTTTTACGTTGAAATTGTACCTATGTTCTATTTTTTTAATGCATAAATATTTTGTATTTCCATGGTAAAATGTGTTTTAATTTACTTGCAATTTAAACAAATTTCATATTAGCAGAAGTCATTGGAATTCTTTGGATAAAAAAATCAAGAGGCACAAAATCGTAATACAATGTTTAAAATTTCCTTACTCTTGTTTCAGGCCACTACAATCATGATATTCAGATAAGAGTCTTGTATGTTTCCAGATTTTTTTCTATTTAAGTACAAATAATTTAATATATCTATATTTTGTAAGGTATAGTATTCAACTGAATTTTAGGGAGGCTTTGTGAACATTTTACCTGAAATTGGTTCTATGGGTCTGGAGAAAATACGAGATGAATAACCATTGAAAGAAAGGATATCAAGAGGTATGCGAGATTTTGTATGTAAATACAAGTTAATTCTAGCACAGTAAAATTTTAATATATAAAAATGATAATATACTTACCTGTCTGCTTCTACCGATAAGAAAATGTTCGAGTGCAACTGCCTCTTCGCTAATCTCCTCGGATTTTTCTTGGGTCTCTCGACAATGCTCGGTTTCACTGGAGAAAGATGCGCTCTCTGTCTCCATTTTAGGAGATATGACAGTGGTAATTGTTGAAATAAAGTCAAAATTAAGATTTGTTCAGCAGAATCTGATTTTAATTGAATGTTGATTTATACGCACAACAAAATAAATACTTTTGCCAATTTCTACTAGACATTAGCTATTGGATCTTATGATATGATGCTGTCTCCCAAAACACGCCCTTTATACAAAAGTAATATAGTAGAAATTTACAGGTTATTAGGAAACTAATGACAAACTACTCATTCATCTTTATTAGAAATAAAACCATTTTCTCCAATGAAAAATAATAAGAATGCTGCCAAAATTTGTCTCAAAATGCAATATGTGTATTTTATTGTCTGTCCAATATTAATAAACTTCTGTTGATTAAAAGTATTATGTACCTTGTATTAAGAACTGACTACGTATTATTTTCTTGAACACCTGATTTTACAAAATTTCATCCTCTTTTAATGCTGCTGTCAAAGCTAATATTGAAGCCTATTCATTCTTAATTAAAGGTTACATTTCAAATTAGGGTGTTTGTTTTGTAATTAAATGGAAAATATTCAGACACAGAAGAAATACATTCAGGATTTAAAAAAATATCTTTAATGCGAAAAAAGAAAATGAAACACACCTCCATCAAAATGCATTGGACATAGTTATTTGCAATGTTTTCAATACACTGGTAACTTGCTTTTTTTTTCCATTTTTGAATTCAAGGATAGAACCATACATGTATATTATATCATTATTTTATAAGAAATATTTATGCAATTCAAAACAATTAAACTCCCGAAAGGCATATAACATTTTACATATTTTTTTAAAGCAGTGCTCTCTCTCTCTCTCTTCCATTGATAAATGAGGTCCAAAGAGCACAACACATCCTGTATTCTTTCTAAATAAAAAGCTTATTTTTACTTCTGGTAATGAAATGAAAGATACGGAGATAACGAGCAGTATTCAAGATCAAAAGTTTTTAAAACAATACAAAATAGGAGCAGAGCAAACACGGACCTCCAAAACATCAGAGGTGGGATCAGGTGCCATGGAGGAGTGAACATTCCCTGCCGACCGGTCACACCCGGCGTGTGCTCCTTGTCATGATCGGGAAATAACGGAAAAATCCGTCGTCAATTTGGTGTATAAAAATTAGACTAACAATTAGTATGAAAACGTCAGTCAGCATTTGACTCAATGATAAATTGTATTTGTTGACAAGGTCATTGTATCGACTAAAGAACTTACGAAATGATGAATTAGACGAGACTGCTGATGTACTTGTTTCATCAACTTGGTTGTCAATAATTTACCTCGCTTTAGAAATTGTTCATACGTAGAGCATGCTCTTGCGTATCTAATCAGTTGAGATATGTATGTTATATAGATAACTCCGTATGCAGGTGATGAAGGTATATTTCTGCATAAGTAAAGGAAGTTGACGTTAGAAAAGTTAGTCATCACGTTTATCATAGAGCTTGGTTGTTAGATTACCATTAATGTCTTTTTCAAGTAAAATATATGTGTTCTCTCTGTGGCATCTTGTATCTCAAGCTCACCAGGATATATCGTATCGACATAAGAATGGAAATTACCATTGTTAATTGACAACACGTCGTCGATATATCTAAATATCGAGTTTAAGGCCACAGCAAGTGTTTCCTTCTTTTCACACATAAGATTTTGCACAAATTCTGCTTCATATGAATACAAAAATGGTATGCTAATAACGGGGCGCAATGGGTTCCCATGGGAATTCCAATAGATTGTTGAAAGACCTGGTCTCCAAAAACGACATAGATATTGTTACTCAGAAACTAAAGCATCTTTTTGATGTCGACTTCAGAGTACTTGTGTGTACAGTCAGAATGTTTTTGACAAAATAATTTTGCAAATGACCAATGATAAGGTAAGTAAATTTTCGAGTTCCATTTTTATTGAAAAAGCAGCTGTAAATGATATCGAAAATTCCTGAACATTAATTTATCGTGGGGAATGGTTGTGTATAAAGTTGAAAAGTCGTAAGTTTTTAAGCTGTTGATTTTGGTAAAATCTTGCGATTTCAAATTGTCCCAAAGTTCCTTAGAAATTTTAAGTATCCACATCTGATTTACACCTCTTCTTGAATATATTGCTGCACATCACTTTTAAGTTTCTCATTCACTACTGTTAATATCTTAGTGAGAAGTAAAGAAAGATGCTTGGTTGAACATTGACTCTTTTTTACATCTCACTTTGTTTGGTGGTACAAAACACAATCTAAGAAAATCGAACGGGAGCAAAAATAGTCATAATTCTTATAAAACTTCATTAAGGAGAACCATATTTAATGTTTATTGTGTTTGATTTCTGAGAACACAGGGAATACAATGTGATATTCTATGTGAAAAAGTGCAAGACGTCACTTACACCTTAATTAACCTTCCAGTCAGGTTAGATTAATGAAAAATGAAATGAAATATTAACTTTCATTAACTGAATATTTCAACAAATGATACTACTTTGGAGAGGAAGTTCACAAAATTTATACATTCTATAAGATTGAGCTTTTATTTTTGTTAATAAATTGTTGTTTACTATCTATAAAAAGATTCATCTGTCCGATCAAAGAAAATTGTGAAATTTATTCTCTTTGTTATACAAAATAAAATAAATTTTAAATAAAAATACAGCATAATTCTTATTCTTTATCATTTTGTCTCTATTAAAATTACTAGATGCTGCCACAAATCTGTAAATGGTTGACCGAATGTTAACAATTGCCTAGAGTTATTCTTATGATAAAAAATGACAAAAAAACGTATAAATAACAAAGATAAAGAAACATCTTTGCAACCTCAAACGAAAAACAGATTTTAAAACATTGTGTCTATGACTGCCAATAAGAACTTAAATACACTGTACATTTTATGCATGCATATGAAAATATAAAAAATAAATAAAGGTTCTAAATTTTTACGTGGACTGTTAATTCAAAGTCGACTTTTACATCACAAGGAAAATGGACACGTATTTACAAATGTGTGAGAATTCTGTATAATACCTCTAATCTGATCATTAATAGTTGATAACATCTAATGAATTAACATGTAATTTTAAATATTCTTTTATTTCTTTCTTCCTCTTTCTTAGTTATTATTATATTTATATTTTGAATTTTAAGGTAGTCCGATCCACAGCTATATAAAATTAGCAGTTAAGTAATCAAAAATACTCATAAAAGTATCTCTGAATCCATAAATTTAAGTAAATTTATCCACAATATTTCTTTAAAGTTATAGATTACATTTAATCATATTATATAGTGAAAATTGTCAGATCTCCAATATTTTTTCAGAAAAAGCGAATTGGAATATCAGCAATGCATTTTCTAATTGCACACTGATCAGCAAATATATTTCAGGTTAAAAAACGATAGGTATCCAGGCATTCAGGGAAATTGTCATGATTTTCATACTTATTTGGTATTTTTTGTCTTCTATTTCCGTCAGGTATTCTTTAATACATAGTGTAAAAGGCTTTTGTTATCATTGCAAGACATCACAGATCACTTCTCATTTCATAAAATGTTAATAATCATTGGTTTTTAAGGCTGGATTCAAGAAAATCTTATTTTTCTAAAACTGTATTAATTTTTTCTTCTTTTATAGGGTACAAATATAAACTTTTATAAGACCTTTTCTAAGACTTCCAAAGACCTTGAATCTTATAAAGATGAATAAAATGAAAATTGTTGCATGAAAAAATTTCATTTTCAAGCTTCATTTTGATGCATTTCAAATTAAATATTAATTTTTGGAGTTATCCTTCCTGGCTGAGGATCGGATATCCTTAAAGACATGCAAATCACTCCCACTCCGGTAAAATAGTTTTGGTTGTCTATCTTTTTGTTTACAGCAGTTCTTGATAATTTAAAATGTTTTAATAATTAATATTCTAATGAATAAACATGTTATCTAATATAGTCTTCTATTTCTATCTTCCTCTTTCTTATTTATTATTATCTTTATATTTTTCTTATTTATTATTATCTTAACACGCATTCTCTGTAAGCACCAAAAAATCTTTGGAAACGACATATCTCGGATTTTGATGAAATTTTTACCATAGGTGTATCTTGGTACAAAACTAGTAAATATATCCACACGTGCACTTGGTTGCCAAAATATCCATTGAACATTTTTTTTTGACCAAATGAAAACATGAAAATTGAGGAAATGTAAAAATACTAATTAACAAAAATCATTAGATCATATGATAACATGACATTTTAAGGTACACAGAGCATATAATCGTTTATTCTAGAAATATTCTTCCTGTAAGAAAAAGGTCATGCAAACTGACATGGTTTCTAAAAAATTGAAAAATGGGGAAATTGGAATTTTTTGAGATCTTTGAGGCTAAATAAGAAAAATTGTCGGCGGAAATTTCCCAAATCTTACATGGGTTATTATTCTTGGGAATAAGTAGTGTCATTTCCTGAAAAAACATAAGTGGGCTTTTGCTCCTATTTTTAGTAACATGTATCTATAAATAGATATATTTTAGAAAAATGTGAAAAATCAAATTTTGGCAAAGTTTTAATTGTCATTACTGCATAATTAGAACGTATGTTGTAAAAATTGAGATTCTAATGACAAGAGCTGGACACCAGTAGCTGGTATGGACAATGGTTGAGGGGAATTTTCCATTTCTATTTTTAGTATCAGGTGCCTAAATATAGATATGTCTCTGAATATAAAGAAAAATGGCATTTTTGTTCTAATTGGAAGCTTCATATAAAAAGTCCTAACAAATATAAAGCTTTCTACAATATGCTTTCAGAATGAACATGTGTTTGTTCAAAAATTGCTTCAATATTAAGGATGGACTCTTGTTTCATTTAATGGCAACAACGATCTAAAAATAGATTACTCGATTAATTAAGAAAATATATATTATTGCACCTTTTCAGGCAATTTTTAGATGAAGTTGCTGCATAATTAGGGAATATTTTGTAAAATTTTAGATGTAAATGACAGGATATGGATACCACTAGCAGGTATGGATAGTTGATGAGGGGAATTCCCATTTTTATTTTTAGTATCAGGTGC